GTTACGTCTATGTTAGTGTCTCCGGCTTCGCTCTGATATGGGCAATTGTTGCTTGGCTCGTTCAAGACGGCTAGATTGTTGGAGGCGATCCACTCCTCCAACTCTTTGCCTCTGCTGTCTAGTGTTTTAGAGAACCACAGACCAGATTTTGCGTTAGCGTCGGCTGTGGCAATGATGCGGCGGCCAGCCCGTTTCCTGAGGATTGCATCCAGCTTACGCAGAAAGCTGTTTATGTCAACTGAAAACTGCATGTAGCAGTTTATGAGGTAGAAGCTTTCCTTATAAGTGCATATTTCTACGCACATTACATGATCGCATTCTAGCACCGATCTTTGAAAAATGTCGTATTCCCTATCTCTGACTACGATCGCACCCCAGGGATTGTTTGTTTCTGGTTGTAGCACTCTCAGTCACCTTTTACTCTACCATTTTATGTGATGGTTAAAATTACATGTAACCTTTTACTTTACCTTTTAAAGTGTACGGTTCTTGTATACACAATATATCAAGTCCCAATTGATGTAAGATAAACTCCAAATTAGCAGCTGCAGATTTGGATCTTTGGGCGTTTACTTGGGCTGCTTTCAATCCCATGAAATCTTTATAGATTTGTAGTTGCTTCTCGTATTCAGGACACAATTTCCAGGTCACTTTGTGAGCCACATCTTGCCGCTTGTTTCTAACGCATTTTGCATCTTTGTCCATGGTGCAGTCACTCGAAATGTGTTCACTGCTACCACATTTTTCGCATACTGGTTTTTCAACTCTGCATACCCTTGCTATGTGACCGTATACATGACATTTATAACATCTGGGTATTTTTATATATTCGCTTACCCGATATGTGCGCCAGGTCATGTAGATTCTGCCTTCATTTAGCAGTCTACTGGCGTACTTTCCTGACAGTTGAATTATCCAATTCAATTTGCCAAACTCATTTTTAAATTTTGTTACAATTTTGGTGTTATTTTTCAGAAGTTCAGCTTCCGTTTCTTCTAAATATTCAAAGTTTTTTGCAACTAGACTGTCGAGAAAGTCTTTTTCTTCGCAGTCATTTTCTACGTCATATATAATTATTTGAGGTTGTAGCTTTTTGGGCTCCTCAACAATTAATTTCTGTGCGGTTAGGTTAGATTTCTTTATTAATTATACATTTTTTTTAGCTTGAACTTCGATGACAATTCCTTTGTTTCTAAGTTGTCTCATACTTTTAACTTTAACTTGCTTAATAATTTCTTTAAGGCCAGTTTTGATAATGTCCTTTAATTTGCCATTTGAGCGAGTGTCAGTTTTACTGCACTCTGGCTTAATATATACAAATTCGCTTTTGCTTTTTTCTATTATTTGAGTACTAGCGTTGTTTGCTGCCTTTGCAGCTGCGTTTGCGTACGACAAATTGGCGCCGTTTTTACATTTTTCATTATACATTCCTTGTGCCTTCTCTCGCTCAACTATTTCTTTCTGGAGCAGGCTTTCTGGAGGAGCATTGTCTCCAGGTTTGACCACTTTTCCAATATAAATTTAATGGCACATTTATTAATTTTGTTGGATTCGGTAAAGAGGAAGCTTTCTAGGGCTTCTCTTTCTTTTTTGATGCAAATCATTCTATCTGATAATAGACTGTTTTTGCTTGTTTCAGGGGTTACTTCTCTTTTTGCCTTCTCTTTCTCTTCATTTTTGGTTTCTGCTTTTTGAGCAGTAGCCTGTTTTGACAACGAGTTATCAGTTTTAGGTTTTGTTGTTTTTTGAGAATTCATATTTGTTTCCACGAGTACGGGAGAATATTAGTCGGCCCAGGTAGCGCTCCCAATGCCTGGGTAATAAGCCTATTACTGCCGAGGTGTCGGCTGGTGCTCCGAGTTGGTCGCTCGTAGCTGTATTCCCTCACAGCCATTCACTCCTTCGGCGCGCGCCTTACCTTAAAGTTGAGAGTGTTTTTTTTATAGAGGATCCTCCTTCGTGACCCGGGCGATTAAGCCAAAGACCCCCGCTCTCCAGAGACATGACCTAGAGCTTGCGGTATGTGCCGCTTTTATGTGGGATCAAAGTTGTTCTCGCCCCACAACCTTCCTCCTTTACCCGGGCTTAGGACCGGCAGCAGTGCGCGAGGACATCTGCAGGCGGAGTTCTAGGAGCGACTCAGAAGGAAGTACTGTCGGGGGTATTATCATTACCGCCCTGGCCGTGGCGATAGTTTCTTTGCCCACCGCGGTAATTTCCGCGGCCGCCGCGTTTTGTTTACGCGACCGCCGAGGTTTTTTCCTCCATGATCTCCGCCCCAACTCGCATCGTCTGTGGACTAAAATAATAATTAATAATATTATAATAGCTGATTGCTATGTATTTATGTATTACTATAAAAATTTAACATTACCTTTTTGTAACTATACATTCTTACTTCTTTATCATTAAAAAAATCCAGGAAGTACGTCTCCACGTTTTCACTGTCTTCTTATAATACCCGTAGGAGAGATAATAAACGCTCCTCCTTTTCAAACTGCAATTTTATGGTGTCGAAGCATAAATTAATGCCCTTCATTCTGTAATCTATTATAAAAAAATGATAATGAAAAATCCCTAGAAATCAAAACACTAGAAAATATTTTCATTAAGAAGAGGTGCCGAATGAATCCATCTGAGCATATATTTCTTACGATTACAATAACGCATATGAAACATACATTTTAAAACTGAATTGTAAATTTAAAGTATAAACCTTTGAATATTTTTGAAAAAATAAATAAAAAAAAAATGAAAATTTTGAAACGTTTGAAACGTTTGAAATATAGATTTTTTCTATTTCTAAGTGTATATATATATATATATATATATATATATATATATATATATATATATATAAAGAAATATACCTTTGTTATTCTCCGACACCCCACACTACAAAACCGTGTGTCAAAAACCGTATGAAACATCTCCTAATTTCGTAGGTCTCGTTGATTCTGCACTCGAGCTATAATAATAAGAATGTTCTAATTATACACATGTCCTGAAGAATAAAAAGTGGATTTAAATTACTTACACAAGCCTATCTTCCCAATGGGACTCGGTGTGACAATCCGTTAATATTATAAGTATTTCTTCTTTAGGTATTTCACTTACTAGTGTGAAATTCCCTATAGCTCCCGCTATTTTATTTATGGATGCTAGAAAGATAAAAACTATAATAATAGAAAAGAAGAAATAGTTTTCAAATAAAAATATATCTTATATATTAGAATAATATATGACTTTGCTGTATGATTTACATTTGTTATATTTCATTCTATCATTCAACCGATGTCTGAACATATAATATAAGGATGAATATGAAATAAAAAGATTCATATTCAAGCGTAAATTTTATTTGGTCTATCTTGTATGTATGTATCTATAACCTGAAAAACGATTGTTAACAATTGCAAAAAGTAGGCTGAAATCGTTGTCGAACTAATATAAAACACAATATTATTACTTTATATTCATAATTATTTATTAATATTCATCACTGATTCAGTTAATAAGATAAATGTAAAAAATGTGCCAAATAAACACTGGCAGACCCTCGACTAATTTATCAAAAAAAAACACAACTTTCACTATGTTGACCGTTTGGGCATTCTTCGAGAGAACCTCTAATCACTTTTTTCAACTTTTCAATACAATAATTAATGAATATTCACTTTCTACAACTTTTTAATACAATAATTGATAAATATTTGCAATGATTTACACTATTTCAACATATCTTCGAACATATTTTGACACCGCAGATCAGGTCGGTTGGTATCAATGTACTATGACATATGTAAAAATACTTGATTGTAGGTTAAGGATTTTTATGTCAAACAAAGACAATGCAAAATAAATAAGATTTAATTAAATAAATTATTATATTTTAATCATTTTCATAAAAAAAAATCAGGTTTTAAATGTTGCCGATAGGCCACGCCCACGAAACTGTCAAATACCTGAGCTTGCCAGTTGTGAGTCTGTCATCGCTACTGTTTGGTGATACTTCTCTCTTCATGATGGTTTTAGTTTATAGTGTAATTGTTTGTTTCTAATCCGAGAATATATGAAATGAATAAACGTAAAAATTTTGCTGATTTGTCTAAGAGAAGTATGCAACAAATTGTAAAGCAAAAGGTTGATAATTTTCAAAAGTTTGTGAATCGAATCGCGAGAACAATACTGCTTTTTCTTCAACTAGTGGTGGTACAAGGGGTACTAGTGGAGACGTAACCGAAGCAAGTTTAGTTTGTCAATTGAAAATCGGGTCTCGTAATGCATTATTCTTAAAAAGCTTTTTTAGAATTATTCTTAGTGACCTAGTAGTTAGGTAGCTGCATATGAATTATTATGGGTTTATGAATTAAAATAACCTACGCACAGCCATGTTCTATACTTAAACTCCAACGTACTGATAGATTATTCTTAATTACTATACTAGCGGAGTATAGTATTACAGCTATAAAGGAGTATACGAAACGGATAACTTATAACGGATGCCGACGGAGGGAATAGCCTTATAAAACAATATTACATCTGACCTTTGCTGGAACGGGTTCTCCTCTCCTGGCACAACACACACACCACTATACACAAAGCGGGTCCAGCGCCTGGCGCGTGCACCCACTGACCTCCTCAGAGGATGATACAATTCTTAATGCTGACTTTCAACCCCAGACTGGACCTTATATTGCAGGCACCCTAGTAGACGTAGGTGGGGGAGCCGAATTGCACCGAGGGTTATGCAACCCTTTTGACGAGAATACCAATTGTCGTAACAATATCACGATAAAATGCAGTTCTTTAATATAAGTGTTACAGTTTATCAAATTTTTAGATAATAGTAATTTCAATTTAATGTAGACAAAAGTGTACCTAATAACCCTCGAAATAACTTTCGGTCTATGGCTGGCCGCTTACTTCTAGAGCCAGTAGCCGAGAAATGGCGTAGCTCTTTGCCCAAAATAAAGCTTCTCGCTCTACACTGGTCCATTCGTGTCCTATAGCACTCTCCGACACATGCTCAATATATAATTTTCTTGTTTTTGGCAGATAAAATCCACATCCTGGTGATAGTTCCTCCTGAAATATTGGATATTAGCTTGGGTATTGTGATATCTTTCAAAAGATATTATTTCAAATTAAGTTTATTTATTTATTTACCATGTTATCACCAGGTGTGTAAAAGTGTTCGGGAACCTATATTAATAGAAAAAAGAGATGATTTGCTTGTACATATGAAAGAGATGAGAACTTATTATGTGAACCAATAGTTTAGATACTCTTGAAATCTTTTGAATCGATAGCTATCAAATATTAATCATCACATTTAAATTATTTAATTTTCTAAAAATAATATCTAATTTATCTAGATATTGAAATCCACTCTGTGAGATAAATAATATAATAATGTTATTAATTACCTTAAAATAATCGTGTGCCTCATCTTCATCTTTTTTGCTCTGAAGCCTATAAGCATACTTCAGTACGGCTCCCCAAAGCTCGTGTTTTTTATGTCTTCCTTGGTAACTAATCGAATATGAATATGTATAAGCACATTAGAATAACTCTACATTAGAGAACATTATTGTTATTATATTATAGTATACCTTTTACTGGATACGCCATTGCAAGTGATTTGGTATGCTCCTCAGAGAATTCAGTAGAAATTTCTGAGTCACTGCACACATCTGCTGGAGACCCAACTGCTTCAGATGGATTTTCTTCCACAATAAAAATCATGTCCTCGTTATTATCAAACACATTATTATCAAAAATAGTTGGCTCCGCTCGTAAGCCTGCATCCATATTCTTTTTATTATTAATGCACGCCACCTGTATTTTCTTCTTGTTCTCTTGTATACCAGAATTATCTTGGATCACTTCCCAAACAAAAACTTTGTTTGGAGGAACATCCAAGCGATCGTCCACCGTTACGGTCAACGAATTTAAGTGCTCAGTATCTTCTAAAATTCAATATTTCTTTTAAAAACAATTAAATTACATTTTATCAGAGAAGAAATGATGATACATACCGCTGATAGCTAGCACTTTCGCTTTTCCTCGACCGGCGTCATAATTTTCGGTTTTCTTCCATGATATTTCTGTAATGGCACCAACATACCTATCTTTCGGACATATACACTTCAAAGGCATGATGTCCGAAGTACCCGATTCAATCCACAACACTAATGCGTTCATGGTGATTCTTGCCATATTTTATAATTATATATAAAATATATATAAAAATATCTTGGGTAAAATCTTGAGAACAACGAAGAGCGAACGATAAACACGTGGAAATAATAAACACAAACACGATAGAGCTTAGGCCGCTAAACGATGAGTAATGCTTCGTTCGATCATTTTCGTCATATTTCGGTCTCACTTCGTAGTTAAGTTGTCTCTATTGGACTATCTCTATATGTTGAACGAGTACGTTAAATATAAAGTTTTCCACTGGTAATTTTTGTTATTTGAGCGTTTGATTTGTTATATATATTGAAATGATATGAGTTGTTGTTGTAGGGTTGATTGGATTGGGTTGGGTTCCAAATGTAGATTGATCCACTCTCCAAGGGGTGCTAGATCAGTCCAACCTTGTTCTGGTGTCGTGGGCAGAGCTTAGAGTTTATAATAAAAAATAACAACACTGGTATGAGTCTCCTCAGAACCGTGAGCACTTTATATTGGTATAGGCTGAAAGATGTCTTTACGCAAAGTAGAATACAAACACTGAATCTAAATTCGACTATAACTTTATTTAATCTTTAATAACTTCACATCACAAACTAGCATAGATTCGTGCTAAGACATACTCTCTAATTTTTTCTAAAACATCACTGGCTAGACTTCTGCCTAAGGCATCACTAGTTAATACAAATAATTCTGACTCTATATATTATACATTGTACGTGTCAATTCTAGGAATGGCGTCTTCCGCGTTCATGTAAAGATCTTGGACTTTGATCAACATTGAACAATGAATTCATATTTTGATCAAAAGCACGTATGATCGTGTTATTACAGAACACGCCACCCCTAAAGAATATTGTTAGTCCTCTAACAATTGAAAAGAAAAAAAAAAACAAACAAAGAAATTACAATTTATTTGGGATTCCTCCCCTCTAAAGCAATTTATCGTCCTCGATAAATGAAAAATAGTAATCTATGGTACAATTGATTATAGCAAAAGAGAGAAAAATTTGAAAATTTGCAAAATATGAAAAAGTAAAAGTATAAAATTTTGTAGTATGTCTGCAATATAGTAATTAGATAACAATTCTGATGATAATATGAATAAAAAAATTAACATCAACCCTTTTTTTTTTTTTTTTTTTTTTAAATCTAATATTGTTGTAACATTTTGCTGCTTATTGTGATTTTTAATAATTCATTAAAATTATTTTGATTTAGCTTCAGCAGTTTGTTTAATTTCAAAAGTAGGATTTTGATAATACAGCAAAATATTACAAACAATAATTAGTTACATTATTCTTATTGGATATAGTATGCAATCTAATACCACATGAATCCGCATAGTTGCATAACTTGTGTGACTGCTTTAAAATGATTAGTAGACAAAAGCGAAGTTGTGACCTATTTGATTTATATACATCAATAAAACTTCTAAAAATTTCTGTGATAAAATTAATTATTTGATCCATTATCACTATCATTAATTGGTCTATTTGCATAAGAATATTAACAAGGTGCAAGATCTCTCTTTCTTTTCACAAATTTAATATTATAATAAATTGTTTAATTTTGTATGATAATTTATTTATTTGATTCGAATTTAAAATATGATCAAAATACTCTGTGTCAGATTCAGTTCAATATTTTTAATAGGATGTTTAAAAATCGCGCGATTATTTCTAACTGAATTCTAACTATATGAGAATCATGTATCAATCTTCGAAACTTTTTAAAAAAAATAGCTTGCACACTTGTTGCCATTCTGATGCATTACATCTAGATTGAAATGGAAGATAGTGATAATTCGTCTTGTAATCTAATAATTTTGTGTTGTCACATACTTCTACATTAATACATTTCTGTAGGCCCTCTTGATTTTAACTTTTATTTTCAAATTTTTATTTTGAACATTCTAAATATACAATATAAAAATATTAAATTGAAATTATCATGTTTAGAATGTCAATATTAATAAAAAATTGAGTGGCCTTTCAATTTCTGAATATTTGATACAAATATATTATTATATATATTTTTTCTATATTTTGTTTCCATTTGAATTATTGATACTACTCATCAAAATTACTTTTGTTATAGGTGAATAAATAATTAAAGCTTTGAACACTCGAAATTCATAATTAGTTATTATCAAAAAAATAAAAATGCAACTATAAAAACATTAATATGTCAAATGAAATAAATAGATTACGATAAAATTATTCAAAATCAAAATTAAAATATTAAATTAATGAAATTTTAATTGAATAAAATATGTCGCCAATTAATACTAAAAAAATTAAATAATAATAAAATAAAATTTTGTAAAATACATCAAGATTCATAAATTAACAAAGTTAAGACATCATAAGCAAATTTGTATTGCGTGCCTTATCAAGGTTTGAATCCGAATGTTACGTGATATTTCTTTACTCAAATTTCAAAATAGAAATATGATAGAGCTTGTTATGCTATTAACGCAAATAATCGAAATTAGTGTGGACAATAAAAATTTCAATTAGGAAAAATATTATTATTTTCAATTTACGCAAATAATAGAAAACAAATTTACTCAATCGCTTACTAATTTTCAAAATAAAATTTATTATATTTGTAGAGAAAATTTAGGAAATATTTTACGTTCAATATAGCACCAACAAATTGAATTGAATTTAAAATGAAATCATTTAGTATCAATAATTCAAACATGGACTTTTTCTATTTTCCTATTTTTTTTTTCAATTTATAATTCTGTTCTATGGGGATAGTTACATTGCAATTATTGGCATTAATTTAAATTTATCCCCTTCATTTCTGTAACATTTTGTGGTATGGGCAGTTGATTAAATTTAATTATTATTGAAATTTGCGTTTTCAAGTTCAGTTGTTTTCACACCAAACTTCTAATTTCATTTTATGTAATATTCGATCACAAATTAAAATTTCATTCTTATGTAATATTTTTAAAATCATTTATATATCTAACTTTACTAGTGGAAAATTATTCTCATGCAATATTTAATATTATCGATGCAATAAACGAGCGTGTTTTGGTCCTAAAATGAAAATAACGAAATAAATTTATTTGAAAGATTTTATTGACTCGTTCCCGCGGATTCATGAGTCTTATAAGTCATCAAAATTACGTCAAATATATTTAAGATCTCGCGGTTTTCACTAACCTTACGAGTCTCCATTCGGGTTTTCCCTACCCTGATTAATTATTTATTTGTCAGATACCTATTGTTTCTTTTGAACAATTTAATATTAGGCTATCTGAAATGAAGGATTGGCACTATCGCCTGAAAAGTGGCACAATGGCTACACTAAATCCTTTAGGCATTTCGCCTTTATACTGGCATTTAAAGCCACATTAAAAATCGCGACGTAATGAAAAGATCAACAGATGTAAATTTACTCTTGATAGGATACTCAAAGTCATTAACTAGAGTCACTAACTTTTCAATATTACTTTCTGAGTCTTTTATATTATTACTTGATGACTTTATTTCTAATCTTTACAATTATTTTGAAATAATGAAATATTTCTGTTATGAAATTCGGACCTGGCAATGCTCGTAATTGTTTTTGTTAAAAAATGCTTAGTTAACAATATTTACTTGAACTTAACCTTGATGGTTACGTGAAGTCAACAAAATAATAGTGGTGTGAACAATAATCGAACTGCCCGTTGTTACAAAAATGTTACCCAAGTACAACCCAAATCCTAATACTTAAAAAAAAATTCAAATTGACAAAATATTATTATTTATATTCTAATTGACAAATAAAATTTTTAAAAAAAAATTGACGACTATGATGTTCTGGTCTGGATATGTTGAAGGATTGGTTTTTCTTACTTGGGGAGTGAGCCTTAATCGAGAAGTCTGCGTCGATTTGGGTAGAGTATGTCCTTGTCCCTCTGCGTAAAGTCGCCCTTCTCACGGGTTATTTGGTATGCCGCCACCTTTGATGCCTCTGATACTTCGTGCCAGTCCTGATTATGCTGGTTTTCAGCTGTTGCTGCAGCGCCGGATGCAAAATTTCTGCTACTCAGCTTCTTGCTCGACACTCACAGCACACTCAACACTGCACTTCACCACGAGGTAAAACCACCGCTTGACACCATGAAATGTTTTGAGTTGTTGTTGTAGGGTTGATTGGATTGGGTTGGGTTCCAAATGTAGATTGATCCACTCTCCAAGGGGTGCTAGATCAGTCCAACCTTGTTCTGGTGTCGTGGGCAGAGCTTAGAGTTTATAATAGAAAATAACAACACTGGTATGAGTCTCCTCAGAACCGTGAGCACTTTATATTGGTATAGGCTGAAAGATGTCTTTACGCAAAGTAGAATACAAACACTGAATCTAAATTCGACTATAACTTTATTTAATCTTTAATAACTTCACATCACAAACTAGCATAGATTCGTGCTAAGACATACTCTCTAATTTTTTCTAAAACATCACTGGCTAGACTTCTGCCTAAGGCATCACTAGTTAATACAAATAATTCTGACTCTATATATTATACATTGTACGTGTCAATTCTAGGAATGGCGTCTTCCGCGTTCATGTAAAGATCTTGGACTTTGATCAACATTGAACAATGTTCATTAATAAATAATTTAAACTCTAAAATGATACCAAGAAAATCACTTGATACAGTTGGATCTCGGCAGAGGCAAAAACGGCTAAGGCAAGCTTTTGATAAACGAAACGAGATAAATACTATTCAAATTGTTGAATCTATTCGTAATGATCCTCGTTGTAATAGAATTTCTACAAATTTTGAGAGAAATTAGCAGTTTTAAAAAATAAATATGTAGATGTATAAATTAATTATTTATATATTGATTATTACACCTTGATATGATTTTTTAAATATATTATTATTTTTATTAAGTACAAATCATTTCATTATATAACACATTAAACTAGTGAAATACCAGATGTCTAATATGAAAGAACATTTTGAATATTTTTAAAATGTTATTTTCAATTTCTTCTGTATTCATTACG